TTTAAATTAGAATCTGTTAAAAGTGATTAATGATTGTAGACTTCGTCTAAAAAAGAAAGAGGGAATTAGGCTGTAAAAGTATTATATTATTAAGTTAAACTACCCAATTCACATGCAAGTGGCGACTTTTGTTTTTGTTTTGACTATGCACCTGACCTTCCTCCTGCTGCAGATGCACGCAGCACAGGAGCCTGGTCTAAAATGTGCTCCAATTCATACTGACTTCATTTGAAAAATGCTGCAATTATTTTAAATTAGTAAAATATATGCTGAGATAAATGCATAGATAATTAAACACAGTACAAAAGTACATAATACATATTTTAAAGTTTGAAGGTTTAAGAGATTTGAGTCTTGTTTTTTATTAAGAGAGTTTCTGGTCTTAAAAATGTCATCATTAGTAAGATAATAAGTAATCTTTTATTTACATAGCGCTTGGGAAAACCCAGAGCGCTCAAATTGTTTTGACTTCAGAGAGAAAAACAATCTCATTCACAATCTCTGTTGTTTTTAATTTGACTATAAGGTTGTTTTCCAGAACCAAGAGCACACACTGTACAGGGTCACTGGACTGCTGGACACTGGACAGCGCAACGCCCACCCAGCCACAGGTCACAGATCAAAGAGCAAAGGGAAATGCCACCTCCTTGCCCCTCCCCCCACTACAGAAGTAAGTGGGAGTGAGACCGGGGCCATGAAAGAGAGGTATCTGGAGACGTGATGGGTGGAGCGTCAGGTAGAGACCTAGAGGGAGTTGAAAGTGTGTCTACGTGGTTTACATCACCACAGTGTAACCTTTGAGACCTACAGGTGGTTCGAGGAGTCTGGAGAGACAACCCCAAAATTCACATACACACACACACACACATACACACTCATACACTCACACATTCACATTTACATATAGATACATGAAAAAGCAGAACATGAGGAAAAAGCATTTTAAAAGTTTACTCCAATGTAAACACATATTTTTAATTGTCTATCACTTGAATCTTTAGTTGAATCAGTATTTTTTGAGACCAGAAATGTTCATTTGAATTCTATATTGTCATGGACTAATTGACGTCTGTCCTGACACTTTTGATTTGTTGATTTTGTACTGTGTGAAGTAATTACATTGATGAGAATTAGATCTGATAAAAACACAAATTAGAGAAGTAAACTGCGCTTGCTTTTGTCTGAGAGACATTAGCAACAGCATGAATAGAAATTGTGTTAAAGTAGAATCAAAGTGATTTAACCATAGAGAGTAACTATTGCATTACAAGCTGTGTACAGGAACTGTGAGACTGCACCATTGACCAGAAGTGCATCCCAAATGACCTGATGTGCTTCAAGTGAAAAGACTGTATCTGGAGATCTGATGTGCATCTGGAGACCAGAACCAGAACCATGGCTTGGACCCTACTGATGTCCAAGATGACATCTCTATATGACCTGTGACCTGATGACGACTGAAACTCACCCTCAGGGGACCTGAGGACCTGAGGACCTGAGGACCTGAGAGAAAACTGGGGAGTGATGTTTATATTTTTGAAATCATACATTGATGAGTGCTAAATGAGAGAGATACTCATGATTCTTTCTTTTGTTTTTGTTTGTCCCTAGCTTCTGGACATCTGATGATCTATTGGACACAGACATTTGCAGAACAAGAACCAGCCAATGAAAATCGTCTATTGCTGATGCTTTTGCTACAACCAGAACCAGAAACTGTGAACAAATGCAATATACATGTTAAGTATTCAGACATCTGACAGACAAAAACTTTGACTTTTTTAGTCTGGTAGACTGAGCATCTGTTAAAAACTTTTAAAATGATAAAGTATGAGTATTGTAGCGTTTTAGTAGATGTTAAATAGTAGTAAAAAAGTAGAATTGTCCTTTCTTTGTTGTTCATAAACATTTCCACATAAGAGTTAAAATAGTACCCTACAATGTTATCCTTTTGATAGATCAGCTAGAATATTAGAATCAGAGTTATGTTACAGCCATTAAAAGTGACAGAAGTCACAAATTAGAAATATGTGTTTGCTCAAGGTGCAAACGCAAAGCTGTTAAGAGTTAGAGAGACTCAAGCTGCAGCCAAACTTTGGAGTCACAATAGTGTAGAAATAGAAATAGATAAATGCATCAACCATAGATGCTTTCAAAAATAGAGATTATTTGTAGTCAGTGCTAATATCAAATGGTAAAGGGACCATTTCACAAACATTTACTTCAGAAGTAAATAAAGTTACTTACAGTTTTATGTACAGTTTTATTAGATACTTGCCAAATTCACTTGTGTTCAAACATGAGTGAATGTTGACAATGCAAAAGTCCATATGAGTGTAGTCTAGATTAATGCCTAGATTAATGAGATAGATTACAACCAACAGAGATTCAAAAGCATTTAAAAGCATTTTGATGTATTTGGGTATAGCACAAAAACACAATAGTAGATATTTAGATATTGAGAAGTTTCCAGCACAAACACCATTGTAGAATACTGACCCCAACCCCAAACCTGCTAAAATAGATTAGCTACTATTAGGATAATACTAATTTGATTAATGATGTACATTCATCCCAAACTGCCTGACAATAATATCTTTAGATAATAAAAAGTAATAAATCATTGACCACTATAGAAGTGTAAATGTTGACCATTTGCCTTACTGTGTTCACAGTTTTATTCCTGAGAATGAGAATAGACATGGAGCAAAATCCCACTGATAATGAAAGTAAACCACAGAGAGATTTATTAGATTAAAATGTATGTTTAAGAATATGGCTCAATAGAAGCAAATATGCAAACATATTTGTGAATAGATTAGAATAGTTTAAACTATAGTGAATAGAGAGTAAAGTACACAGTATAAGATTAAAAAGTGAAAATAATACAGTGAAATAAGTGAAGTGTAGTGTAAACAATTGTCATTAGAATAAAAGTATAGAGTAATAAAAGTGAAATTAGCTTCAAAATTGAGACTCAGCTCGTTTTTGTCTGTGTTTTGACTGAATCTGCTGAGTTCTTGTGTGTCCAATAGTTTTTGTTTGTTTTTATTTTTGTTTGTTTTTATTTTTGATTTGTTTTTTGTTTGTTTTTTTTCCCAGGATAGAGGATAAAATCCACTGATATTGATTTGATGATTATGAGTTTAATGCATACATTTTCTTTGTTTTTAATAATTTTTATAATAAGTTTTTTTTTTGGATTTTTTTTTTCTTTTTCCATTTTATTGATTGATCGATTTGAGTGATCACATGTGATTATGTGATCAAAGGGGAGGGTATTAGTATTAGATAGCAATATGGCCTACGTGCAGGACTGTACAAGGACTCTACAAGGACTCCATGTTATGACTATGATGTGACTGTCTCTTTGTGACACGTATGTCTTTCGATGTGTGACGTGACAATGACTATATAAACTGTGTACTGCCTTTATTCTGTCTGAGAGAAAGAAACAGAGTAAACCAGTGGAACTTGAGAGAAACTTAAATAAACTTCCAGAGTTTGGCACACCACGATCCGTCTCTGTCTGCTAAATCCTAACAGTGGTCAGAGGTGCCGATGGTGCATACTGGTTGCCTCGCTTCTGTCAGTGTGCTCCAGGGCAGCTGTGGCTACAGTAGTAGTTTATCACCACTGTGTATGGAGTGAAAGAATAATGACATGCAAAGCGTCTTTGAGTGTCTATATAACACCGATGCATTATTATTAGGGCTGTCAAAATTATCACGTTAATTCACGTTAATTACCGTTTTCATTAACGCGTTAAAAAATAATTAAATAACGCATGTCCGAATGACCCGCCCATTTATAATAATATCACTCAGAATGCCGCGGACACGTGCGTGTGTGTGTGATGGTGACAGCGGTAACGTGGTCATATAATACACATATATACACGCACAGGGCCATTCTCTGATGTTGTGTGACACACAGAGGGTGGAGGGAGGAGGAGACACGCTGAAATGCAACCAAACTCGCAAAATTAAAGCTGGGGTACCTACATTTTCCCTTTCATTAAAAGGTCTTGTTGGTTGTACCCAAAAGTAGAAGGTTGTGAGCAAGTCAAACCGATTGAAGTACATTTGGTATGAATAATAATGTGTCATTACATTTGAAAATGTCATTTAACTTCAATTGGAGTGGATTTGAAATAGAATGTTAAAAATGCAATTAATCGTGAGTTAACTCACCATTACTATGCGATTAATCAACTAAAAAAAAGTAATCGTTTGACAGCCCTAATTATTATTATTTGGGTTTGTTGTTGTTGGAATAAAACAAATGTGGATTCTTTCCTGAGAACATTAGCAATAAAATGATGTATTAACCTCTTTTGATGAACCCAGTGTATGGGCCTTACCATGGTCCAATGTATCTGATCCCAAGCTGATGTTTCCTAAAATCATACTTTTAGTATTGTACCTGTGTACCCCTCCACCGATGGGGACGGGGCAAAAGAACCCCCCCGTCATCCATCCAACCATCCATTGCCGGGGGTGGCAGATAGACGTAATGAGCACATGCTTGGACAGAAAGCACACAGAAAACCTTGTTATTGCAGACTGATTATTTTTTATATTAATTATTAGTTTAGAATAAAATAATTGGTGTGGGGTGTTTTTCTTGAGAGAATTGACATTACATAGTTGCCCATATTAACCCATCAATGTTTACATCAATGTTTGCAAGTTTCGGGGGGGAGGGGAACACAGGGGTATTACCTCTTGTAATTCCCCTGTGTACCTCTAGGGATACACAGTTGGGAAACATTTACCCACTACATAATAAATAGCGGGTTCCACTTTTGGGGAGTTTTCTTATAGTACCTCTGCATTTTAGCAAGCCAATGAAATGTGTATATGTTGTACTTATAAATCATGTATTTTTGAAACTAAGTGTAAATTATATATACTATAATTTACACTATTATTGAAAGATAGATATTTTGTTATAAACTTGAAATATACAAATGAACTAAACCAAACTTGCTTTTGCAGCCTGTGTCGGATGCTCAATATTGGTACTACATCTTAGAGCTGGGCTTTTATCTATCACTGCTTCTGAGCGTCTCTGTGGACATCAAGAGAAAGGTCAGTCTGAACTATATTTAGGGCCGCGTTCACACTTGTTGGTCTGGTTCACTTTAACTGGACCAAGTCTGCTTCACAGATCTGTTTCAAAAGATGATGGTTGATTGTGCACTCTATTGCTTTTAGTATGTGCTGGTTTTGGACAGTAGCTCAGTTGGTAGAGCATTGGCCTTTGGGCCTGAAGGTCGTGGGTTCAAGCCCACCATAAGACCTACTTCACGACTCCCACTGATGACTACTGTCGTTGTGTCCTTGGGCAAGACACTTAACCCCACTTTGCCTGAAGCTCCCACTGAAAGATCTCAGCTCCTGTGGACTCACCACCTGCAGGAGGATCAGTGAGGGGCTGGTGCTAAGTGTAGCACCAGCACCAGGGGGGTGCAGCTCTGACTGCCACCCCCCGACCCAGAAATGGATTAAGGGGAAGAAAATGGATGGATGGATGGATGGTTTTGAAATCTTTGTTTTTTTCACTGTTCAAAAACACATAGACAAACAATGAACAATGTGGGCTGTGTCTGTGCAAATATTCTAATGCGGTTTTTCAATTGGCAAATGCAGTGAATCTGAACTGATCTAAGTGACTGGATTGTGGTTGTTATACATCCACAAATAAAACATTTTTGTATGTGAGTTAGTTTACTAAATATTTTTATACTACATGTTTGCAAGTGATCGATGAGATTATTTATTTTACTATTTCAAAGTTGCATATCTTTGTTTACGACAACATTTGGTTCTCCTTTTTGTCAGGATTTCAAAGAGCAAGTTATCCATCACATTGCCACAATATTTCTGATGGCGTTTTCATACAGCTCCAACTTTGTGCGAGTGGGAACCGTGGTGATGTTAGTGCATGACTCTTCTGACTTCCTCCTTGAGGTGAGACTCCGCCCAAAGTGAAACCGGTCGGACAACTACAGCAGTGATAATACTTTCCTCTAGAGAAAGTATTTAAGTTTAATCATATCATAACGGGCAATTACTTAGAATGCAGACTCTCCACACCTCTGCTTTTCTCTGGCTTTGTTGTTGCCTGATCTGCTACAAAAGAAACCTAGATAGTATTACACACTGTCGTTGGCACCATAGTTTAAAGATATAATCAGTTTGTAGACTAAAGCATGTGACCAAAGGTGTGGATGACTGCCGTGACCCAAAAAATGTTAGATATTTCCTCTGTCAATCTGTAAAAAAAAAAAAAGAAAAAGAAATTAACACTGAAAGTCACAAAACTCAAAAACACAAGACTTGTTGATCTATCGAACCGATCCACACAATAACAGTGGAATTCAAGTCAATTTATTTTGAATACAGTTGAAATGTTTTACAAAATTGTTAACTGAAAAGCCATCATCCTGCGGACCACCTGCAGCAGGATCAGCGAGGGGCTGGTACTTTTTGTTGGCAACCCCACCCCCTGGCCCAGAACTAGACTAATAAAAGGGAAGAAAGTGACATGCCATGACAACATGACAGTTAGAACAATTAAAAAGGGCAGTGAGAAGTTCATACATTTCCTCGATTATTGAAATAGTTGTCAATTTAGTGATAATCAATTGAGTCATAGATCGAAATATTCATTGCTTAAGCTTTGTTTTGGTTAAATGTACAAATAGTCCCATTTTCACTAACTTTTCAGGATCCAACCAAATAAACGATTAAAAGGAAATTCTAATTACATTGAATAATCTGTAAACTAACTGATATCCCAATAATCATTCATTACAGCCGTACACAGCTGCACAGTTTGATAAATAAATAGTACTTTCCTTGGTTTCGTTTGCTTGAGTTGTAGATACTGAAGTTCTGTCAGCTGCACGGCGAGTGAGGAGGCTTCCATTTTTTCTGGCAACCATAGGCCTCACCAAAAGATTACTGTTTAGTCAGAGCCAAGCGAAGTCAGGAGAAGAACCATGAATGACTTTCTCATCTTTGAAAAGAAACAAAAAAGAAAATTATAGTTTTTTTTTTTGGTTTATTTTCAGTCTGGGAAAATGCTCCACTACGCAGGTTTGACGCACATATGTGATCCACTGTTTGTCGTCTTTGCCGTTGTTTTCCTGTTCACAAGACTCTTTGTTTTCCCTTTCAGGTCAGCACAAACATTTACTTTTTCATTATGCTATTTTGATCATCAAAGAGCCTAAAGTGTATTTGTTTCTCTACAGGGTGGTCCACGCAACCCTTGTTTTGTCTCTGGATTTCTTTGATCCATTCTTCGGGTACTATTTCTTCAATGCCTTGCTGTTAATTCTCCAAGCCCTGCACATCTTCTGGGCCTATCTTATCCTACGTATGATCTTCAAGTTCGCATTCACGGGAAAGGTGAGTTTTTGGTTGATTGGTTGGTTACTTTAAGCTAGTTGTTCAGTGATTGCGTTCTTGTATTATTTTTCTCCCTTTTTTCCCCCTTCATTCTGAGTAAGCAAAATACAGATATTTCAGACATATCAGTATTGCCTAAGATCACTGTAAAATCAATGGATGAATTAAAAGCAAGGATGGGAAGAGAAGAGAAAGGGGGGCATACAAGACCTCCTGGGACCTTTCAATAAAACTATATTTTCAACATAAATATAATTAGATTTAATACATAATGGATTTTGAGCTTAAAGGTTCTATTGTTTTAATTGCCTTGGGGTGGTGGGCCGCACGGTGGCGCAGTGGTTAGGGCTTGTGCTTCACAACAAGACTCATTTGATTCCACCTCCAGACAGGCCTTTCTGTGTGCCGTTTGCATGTTCTCCTCGTCTCTGTGTAAGGGTTCTCCGGGTGATCCGTTTTCCCTGACCACTATAAACATGTAAAATAGGTCTGAATGTAATGTATGAGTGAATGCATGGTGATAGTAGGAGGCTTTGATGGTGTCTCGCTTGTGCCATCACCGTGTGTGGAGAGGTCAAGAGTTACCGATACACCAAAAGTATAAAGTCCCCACCGTGGGACGAATAAAGGATCTCTTAATCTTAATATTTGTATGACCTTGGTCTGCTGAATGCGGCATACAAATACAGATGGATTACTTACTTACAAGAGTTATGATTTGTTTCTTTGTGTTGTTGTATTGTATAAAGGAAGAGGGAACAGAAAAAATCCCCTACATTTTGTTTTATGAATGTGGAATCTTGCTATTAAAATTGGATTATATAATTGTTAATGGTTATTGGAGCTGAACAGTCCAAAGGCTATGCACTTATGTCTGGATGTTTTTCTCTTTAGGTGGGGAAAGACGAACGCAGTGATGATGAAAGTGAAGGAGATGAAGATGAGCTGGAAGAAGATGAAAAAGACAGGGGGGAGAAGAAAGATATACTGAACTCTAAACTGGAGTCACTGACCAATACATGTGTCCTGAAAAACCTAACCAGCCAGAGGAAAATCAACATCAGGCAGCCCAAAGCCAGATAACAGCTGTGTCAAAGTCATTCTCGTCAGATGCATAATTATAATCATAAATTAAAAGCTCATTGTGGGCCGAATGTTTTTCATAGTATAATTTTAACAAAATAACTTACAGAAGACCAATTATTTATTTGTATCTATAAATAATGTTTTGGGTTATTTTATATATAAGTAAATGATATGGTTGTTTATTGGGATAATTAGCACATTACTATCAATACTAAAGTTTATTTTGTATACATTATATTTTTTGCAACCAAGAGTCTTGTAAAAGTAAAATGTTACAAACAGATCAAATCAAAACATGCTGGATTTATCTTATTATAAATTATGCATACTTCAAAGAAAAAAGTCACTTTTTCATGCTTTGGGCTGAGTGAGGGTGCTCCTCTTACTCATTTTTCTGTCCAAAAAACCAAACTGTTTCATAAGCAAGGAAATGGATACGTGTTGGTTTGAAATGATTCCAGCTTTAATCATGTTTCACAGATCATGAAATTCTTATTACTAATGTTTTTGTTGTTATTATGACCTTCAACAGAATTACAATCACATGTCGAGAGGTGCACGGCGCCCTCTGGTGCACATTAAAAGCCTGACGTGAAAAACATAATAGCGCTACATAGATTATACATTATTTTTTATTATTGTGTAATGGACATGAACTTGTGAACTAATTATTCAACTGTGTTTGTTTGTTATTGTTCAATCATTAACATTAATAATTTAGAAAACTGTGAATAAAGGTCAGAGTCTCAACGAGCTCATCTTCATTGTGACAGAACCTCTGATTGGAACAGAGCAGGGTATAGCGTTATCAACCTCCAGGCATGTGTCTATGTAAGGGTCCAGGAGCACCATGTTCGGAACGCCTTTGTTGCCCTTCTTCTCACTGACCAAATATATCTGCCCCAGGACAGTGGTACAGCCACTGAAGAATTTCTTCTCCAGACAGTCCTCCTCTAGCAGAGTCCACTCGTCTGTGTCCACATCAAAGCGCAGAGAATATCCTCCAAACAAGTAAAGGGCACCATTGAGCTCAGTGGCAACCAGGTCATACCTGAAATGGTTCACTCAGTTACAATCAAATAGATTTAACAAATTCATATCTCAAAGGTCTCTCACCGTGGATAGGGAGAATAAGACACTACATCCCACTGGTCGTGTTCCACCACATACCTCTGGACTCCCCCATAGGCCTCTCCATTCTCATCCAGCCCACAGGCTACATAGATGTTAGAGCCCAGAGCAGCAGCTGCAGCCCTCTCCACTGCCCGGATCATAGGGCTAACAGACACCCAGCCTCCTGAGCCAAGGTCCAGCCTCTCTACATCATTCACTAGGCATTCATCCATGGAGCCTCCCATCACAAAGAGTAAATCACCAAGCCCCACAGAGCAGTGACTGTGACGAGACTTCTGCAGAGCAGGACCCTCTGTCCACCGTTGGCTTCCAGAGTTGTAGATGAGCACCCAGTCCACACTGAACCACAACACGTCTCTGAAGTATCCACCAGTAACAACAACACTGTCTCCTGTTCAAAAAGACAAAGACCATTAAAGCAAAATACTTGATAATAATAATACTTGCATAAATGAGTGGGTTATTAAGTAACTGTCTTACCTACAGCTGCCATTGAATACTGTGTAAGATTCTTCCTTTCCAGAGGGGCACAGCTCTGCCATCGTCCAGTCAGAGGATGGAACTGGTACAGAGCTTGTGTGTCCTGATCGTGTGGACCACCCAACACAAAGAGAGTCTCCCTTCCTCTGGTCCTTGGCAGTGATCTGCCCACTGACCAGGCGGCAGGAAAGTGTTCATTTAGAGTTGATATCAACTTGCCTTTGGGGTCTGAGCTCTCCATGCGCAGCAAAAGTTCAGTAATGAACTGTACAGAGAGACATTCAGGCCTCACAAGCTCAATGAGCTCCAACAAGTGTTCTTCTCTTTTTGAATCAAATGAAACCCATTGTAAAGTGGCCTCAAAAACCAAGTCATCCTTCATAACAGTAAGTTCATCACTGGACAACAGATCTGCCACATTGTCCTTTGACAAACACATGAAGTCTTCATCTGTGATTAGAGCAGAGAAGTGAGTGAGGGCTACCTGTCGAGCTGCTCTGTAGAGCTGTGAACAGCCCAGGTGCCAGGCGTAGGACATCATGCCCAAACAGTTACTGAGATGTAGTTCTCGCTCCAGAAACTTACAGCAGAGCAGCCTGGCCTGCTCAAGCTGTAGAAAATCTGCTGCTTCAAGGACCCCCAGAACATTGTCTCTGTCCAGTGGCAACATGGACTTTCGAATGTATTCCATCAAAGTTTTAAAATGGATCAAGTTTAGTCCTTTTAACACTACTCTGTTTCTGCTGCTCTCAAGACCATAACCAAAAAACAGTGCCCTGAAATAGGGACTCTGCATAGCCAGCTGATGACGATTTACATAAAAACTTTCTTGTTGTACTTGCAGTATGGCATCAGGTATGGAGAGATCTTCCACCTCAGGATCATCTATTCCTCCTTTCTCCAGTTTGTGTATCTGCTCAAAAGAACGGGACATTTGCTCTGAGTAGTAAAATCACGCGTCCTTTGCAAAATGCCTTTAGGTGACTGTAGACTAGACCCACACCCCAGCTTTATATAAATAGTACCTTATGACCTGGTTTGATGTCAACAGGAAATGGGGTCATTTTAGAATGGTGGGGTTATACACGAAGGCTTTGTGTGTGCGAGACTTTCCCCATCAGACCTGCAATTACTCTCAGTAGTCGTAATTATGAAGTTGTGACCCGGGGTTTAGGTCCACCATACACAGCCTGATCCCAGCAGCAGTAGCATGTTCCCGCCGCTAGGGGCACATGACCGAGAGCACGCGCAAGTTGCACTTCCGTGTCGTGGGCAGCTAACAACATGGCGGTGAGTTCGTCTGATTTTGATTTCTACAGATAACTGAATTAAAGTAATTTTCCTGTCTGTGTCCCTTTACTTCATAGTCCTTTGTTATGATATAACACACGAATCATTTTAAATCAACAACAGGACTTTGACTGTAACCCATGTGTTCTGTGATCCTTCTGAACTTGCATGTTTTAGGATAAAGAGAAAAAGAAGAAGGAAAGCATTTTTGACCTGTCAAAGTACATTGATAAACCCATTCGTGTAAAGTTTCAAGGAGGGAGAGAAGGTAAGTCCAAACCTATTCACCAAGGCGTCTGCTGTAGTCATCTAACGCGGCATGTGTGTTTCAGCCAGTGGGGTCCTGAAGGGCTTTGATCCGCTGTTAAACCTGGTACTGGACGGGACCATAGAGTACATGCGTGGTAAGTGTGTCCTTATGTTGGTTCCTATGATTTTATCACCTAAACCTGGTGCATCTGCGTTCCCAGATACTATACGATACCAGATCCAGTCATATTGTCTAACTATTGTAAGGCATTATTTTGACAACGAAAAAATACATGTTATGTAATGTCATGTTATGTTATGGAATTCATATTTACAGTCAATGGGAATTACCCATGTCTGTGCTCTTAAAAACGCCTAATATTGATCAAGAACAGAGATGGCTTACCCCACATGCATATAGAAGCGGAATAATCCTGTGTTTCCAGTAGGGCTGTAACAAGTGAAACTAAACTTGGATTCCATCATTTGGTCAAAAAATATATATATTTTTTAAAACTTCTCAGAAATATTTCTGGATTCCATGATAGTCCTGTTTTAACCCCTGTTATACTAAGATAAATGTAAATCTGCTGAATTGGTATTAATGGAGGGAAAAGTTAGCCAGATATGCATTTTCAACATGTTCTTTTATGTGCATATATTACTTACTTTTATTACTATTACTAATGTTATCAAACATACTGCGGCCCGACGTCCCCAAACTAAACCTCTTGCAGCCCTCAGCTAAATTGAGTTTAAGACCACTGCAGGTGGTGTTGATGTGGCCTCTATTTGAGCGAGTCTGTGACGGTCTTGCATGCACAGATATGCTCTTTTTGCATCTTATAATTCTTACCTATGTATGTATTGTTGTATGATTGCGAGCAAGGGACGAGTGCACAATTTCCTTCGGGATCAATAAAGTATATATCTATCTTTTGTTCCAATGACATAATTGTTGAAGTGTGTCCTTGTAGATCCAGACGACCAGTTGAAGCTGACAGAGGACACGCGGCAGCTGGGGTTGGTGGTGTGCAGAGGAACTTCTGTGGTGCTCATCTGCCCTCAGGACGGCATGGAGGCAATCCCCAATCCTTTCGTACAGCAGCAGGATGGCTGACATTCCAATACCAGTGTCTTTTCAATGTTTTTGTTTCATGCACAACATGTTCTGTTGAAAAAAATATTGATCATTTAATGATCACTCATAACGACTTTAAGTTTTTATATTTTGACACAAACCATTTAAGGAATACATTATTTTAGCTGACTTTTTGCTTTGTTTGTGATCAAATTTAATAAATTGTAAACATGTGTTCGTGTATTGCTTACATGTTTAATTAAGCAGCACAACAACAGAGGATTTGAATGTGGTTTTATGCAGATAAAGGGCTATAGTAAAGTGTCCAGATAAGCCACTCAAGCTTGTCCACACCCTGACAAAGACTCTATTGTTTTTACATGCAGGTGTTCTAGAGAAGGGAGGCCGTAGACTCATTTATCCTTTGTTTGAACATCGTTTATGTATCGCATCAATGAGTTTTAACTTGGTGATCAGGGTGGGGATGTTATTTTTTCATTAGGTAATTTTATTTTTTAAAGGAAAAAGAAAAGCTGTATGTGCTTCGTATGTCAATAAAGCTACATTCAGTCATTACAACATTGATGCTTATGCAGTAGATGAGGCGTCATGTTGAGCCTGTCCGCCTCAGACCCGTCACCTGAAGGGGCCCATGGATCAAGGACAAGGTAATGGGCGGAGTGGTGCCGCGGACTTTCTGCAAAGGCCGCTTTGCTAAAAAAAAACTTTAGGCGTCCCTCCACAGAGGTGCGCGGCACGCCCCTTGGCAGGAGGGACAAATAGGTGAGCCCCTTGTCGGCATCGTCGCACATCCTCAAGCCGCGTTTGTGCGACTGCACCGCGGACACGCTGAATGTCCCCGCGCAGAGCCAGGCTGAAGGGTGAGTGCACTTAAAGACTGCATTGTCTGCTTGAAATGTAATCCTTGAGTCTACCTTTAGTTTGTATCAAGCGACTTTGAGTGCGCGCTTAAACATGGACTGAAATCATATACTACTCTTGATATGACTGGCTGGCCCTGTTTCCCCACTACAAATGTGTTATTTGCCAAGTAACATGGCTTCCATGGACTGCCTTACCCACTTATCTCTACCTGAAATCCGAAAGGCATTGCTGAACTATACTTGCATGTAATTAATACTACATTTAGTTCTTAAGTTTTTTTTTTTTTATAATTAAAAACACTTTCATTATGCTGTTTTCACTTTGGCCCAACCATTAGACAATTATAATAGGCCCTTACAGAAGCTTGTTTTCCTTTGGCAGGATGCTGTAGCCTGGGCACGTGACTTGAGAGATTGTGGGCGTGGCTCCATCATGGAGGTGCATAAGAATGAGGTTGGACCATCTAAGGGTTCCTCTAAAGAAGGTTGTCAGAAGATTGGCATTGTGGCCGGACTTTTATTTTTCCTATTAATTGGGATCTCTGTAGGACTGCTTACAAGTAAGTCTACAAACTGTATTGTGAGGTTAAACTGTTTTGGATGACTTGGCCATCTACCTAACTGTTGGTTCTCTGTTGGTTCTGCCCTAGCATATCTAGTGCAGGAGCAGCACAGCTTCATAGAGACAGTGGAGCTGAAGGGTCTCAACTATGATGCAGCTCTGCAAAAGGAAGACTCTGGTTTCTACGTAGTGCTGTCTTCAGTTCTAAAATCTAAAGTTAGAGCTGCCTTGCCATTTGTGGAAAACCTTAGTATTCATTATGAATGGGTCATTCATTTTAATCTATTCTTTAGATCAAAAGTATCTTCATAGCCTCAGCTATATCTCATCATTACATTGACTGTGTCATTTTGGGCTACGGGTAGGTTGACCTTCACTTCAAGAAATATGACTCATATCCAATGCATTATACACTTAATTTCCTCTACAGAAATATTAATGGAGGGGTCATGGTGACGTTCCGACTGATATTTAAAACGTCAAAGATCTGGCAGTATTCTGACAATCATGTTCAGGATTTACTCAGACGTGGTCTCAACTCAGTAATGCATGGCCAACCACTAGAGGTGCCGCAGTTTGGACAGGTCAAGGCTATCATCTTACTAGGTACGAATTTGTGTGTGAGGTCATTATAGCCAAACACAACTGAACAAAAAAAAAATGTTTTTCTATTTCATCAGGTGCCAGTGGCAAGTCCTTTTATTCTATCGGGGATGACATGAATGGTGAGTTGACAATGTTGAGTTGAACTTGTAATAAGTAGATAAATATTACTTTGCTTTGCAGCCAGGTGTCCAGCTAACACCTTCACCTGTGATGATGGTGAATGTGTGACCAAAAAGAATCCAGAGTGTGATTTTGTGCCAGATTGTGCAGACGGATCTGATGAAGCACGCTGTTGTGAGTAATCACTCTTCGTAGTCTACCATAGTTGTATAGACTGTATTTTCTCTGTGTACTACATACTACTGTAGTGCTATTACTGTTGTACTGCAAGAGCAGCATGTGGAACACGCCCTGCCATGGGCAGCCGGATTGTGGGTGGAGAAGATGCCCGTCATGGGGAGCTGCCGTGGCAGGTCAGTCTGAGGCTTCATGGTCGACATACTTGTGGGGCCTCTATCATCAATGAACGCTGGCTAGTCAGTGCAGCGCATTGCTTCGAGAGGTGGGTATTTATACATGTTTTATATGACCTTTACTGAATGATCAGATCAATTTAGTTAAATATGTGTTTAGGGACAAAGATCCCAAAGAGTGGACCGCCCTGGTTGGGGCCCGTCTGGTGAGCGGTGAGGAGGCCGAGTCTAAATTGGTCAATGTTAAGTCATTGATCGTGTCTCCAGATTACAACTCAAGGACCACAGACTTTGATGTCACTGTTCTGGAGTTGGAAACTCCCCTTATGTTCACTTCTTACATCCAGCCGGTTTGTCTGCCCTCTACATCTCATCACTTCTCCCCTGGACAAACCTGCATGGTGTCAGGATGGGGAGCACTTAACCAGCTTAGCTGTAAGTGTACATTCTAATTGGCAATAATAAAAGTTACATGATTTTGAGACAGTGATTCTCCACAAACTTTAACTGATCGTTCAAGATGAGTCGCTGTATCATACAGTTCTCATACTTTCTGTCATTTAGCATCGGTGCCCTCCAACCTGCAGAAGGCTGTGGTGAAGGTAATTGACTCTGCAGTGTGCAATAAGACATCGGTGTACAGAGGAGCGATCTCTCACAACATGATGTGTGCTGGTTTCCTGCAGGGCAAAGTAGACTCCTGTCAGGTGAGTTCTCTGTGTACTGTCACATTGTTGTAGTCTTCAGTCTAATATTAGTACATTACTACTTCTGTGTTGTTTCTAATGAAGGGTGATTCTGGAGGGCCTTTAGTGTGTGAAGGAGCCCCAGGCAGGTTCTTCTTGGCCGGAGTGGTCAGTTGGGGCATAGGCTGTGCCCAAATTAACCGACCAGGAGTATATTCTCGGGTAACCAAGCTTAGAAAATGGATTCTGAGCTACACAGAATCAGGGGTGCCTCATGAAAAGCCACAATATGAAAACAATGTGCAAACTACTGTGTCTGAAGAAACAATTAACAATTCAGCTGAACCTTGGATGATGAATTTGGATTTGCTAGCGGATACATCACTTTCTGGTATAACATTTAAGAAATTTGTGACTAAAACAATACATCCATTTTGTAATTATATGTTTTTTACATCTCTTCTTCAGTTTTAAACTGCAGTGGGAATTTCCAGTGTAGCACGACTACGTGCATAGACAAGGTAAACCCAGAGTGTGATGGGGTAGTTGACTGTCCTAACCAGGCAGATGAACATCACTGTGGTAAGTTTTTGGATTAATGGAGTAAACTCTATTAACTGTATATCAAGTATATTTACAAATTTTCTGGGTTACTTGTTTTAGATTGCGGTGTGCGTCCGGCATTAGGATCTCAAAGGATTGTGGGTGGAGTAACAGCTCGGAGAGGAGAGTGGCCCTGGATTGGGAGCCTCCAGTATCAGAGGCTGCACAGATGTGGTGCCACACTTATTTACAGCAAATGGATGGTGACCGCGGCACACTGTTTCAAAAGGTACTGAATATATTTACGTAGCGATATAAATCCTTTAACTCCTGTACAAAACATATGTAGATTGTAAATTTTTCACAGTGACCCAAACCCTGATAACTGGGCAGTTAGCCTGGGATCTGTGCTGCGCTCCGGGGTAGGAGCCCTCGTTATCCCCATTCAGAGGGTCCTTATCCATCCACACTTCAATAGCACCAACATGAATTATGATATGGCTCTTTTGGAGCTATTGGTGCCTGCACCCACGTCCTACACCATTCAGTCCATATGCCTGCCCTCTGCAGCGCACAGATTCATGAAGAGCGCAGAATGCTACATCACTGGATGGGGATCAATGCGCGAGGGCGGTGGGTTTCATGTTATTGGTGTTATTTATGTACGTCCATTACATTGTATGTCTTTTCATAGGTTCTCTTACAAACCTACTGCAGAAAGCTGCGGTTAGCATCATTGAGCAGGCAGACTGTCAACTCTCTTATGGAAATGTGCTCTCTCCAAACATGATGTGTGCTGGACACATGGACGGAGGCAAAGACACTTGCTTGGTGAGGTGTAGCACAGGGAAGTGGGTGACCCACAAACCTCTATTCTATTGTAGTTACAAACTATAATAATGTAACTTATTTTCTTAACAGGACCCTGCATTGTTTTGTTTTTTTTCAAACAAAGCCTTAAAATTTGAGTTTTGTCCACCTTATTAATGTGTGTGGGATCATTTTTTAGGCTGGACTAATAATTTTACAAGAATAAAAAACCATATCAATGCAGATGCTCAAACGACCCCTGCTTTAAATATAAACATGTTCTTTAAGTACTCCTTTTTTAACATTTCTGCACTTGGATATCTTATCTGATTCTACAGAGTGGACTTTCCTTCCTAAAAATACAGAGCTCCCCTTCTCACCTGCTCCCTCACTGTAATCTTCTTATGTAAGGGAACCCACAGGCATTCCTGTCTCGGTCACAGCACCTGGCATCTCAGCAGCTATTCATTCCCTAGTACTCCATGTAGCCACCTTGCTCCTACTTGAAAGACATTACTTGTGTTAAGCTCTCAACATGTTTTTTTTTTAATAGGGAGACTCTGGAGGACCACTTGCATGCCGTGAGCCTTCAGGCCAGTGGTTTATTGCTGGAGTGACCAGTTGGGGCCATGGTTGCGGAAGAATAGGCTTTCCTGGAGTATACACAAGAATGACTTCAATGAGGAAGTGGATATCTTCATATGTGCATTTGTGATGGAAGAAGAACCTCTGAAGAGCACATTTCAGAGGTCTTTCAGTGAACCAACAAAAATACAATATGACCGCAGGTCATGGGTGCTCAACAAACCTTTCTGTGCAATTTAGACATCTGGCACAAGTCTGCACTGAAGAACTAATACACACAGCTGTTTCTTCGCATCTTTATATTTATTTCAATTATTTATTTAACATCCCAAGTTTTATACTGTTATAATTTTTAGTGTTCGGATTATACACACAAGACCCCATGGAGCTCTGCCCTGTGAGCTCAAGAGACAAAACTATCATTCCGTCCACGCAAACTTTAAGGACTGGGACAGTTTAGAGAAAAGATTTGAAGTCTTCCATTTCATTCTGCAATTTTAAGTGACATGACAAATTGGCGACTACTAGAAAGAACCCTAACCAAAATTAGGGACTTTGTTAAAACGGCCTATAAAATGTGTACTTGTAAAGATTTATTGATTAATAACAAGGAATAGCTAAACGGGTAAACTGAACGCAGCCCCATAGTAAACAAACGTTGCCTGGCTGTTTGGGACCATTTCTGCTGACAGAATGACAGAACTAAACACAAATTGAATAAAGTTAATCTGAAAAGGACGTATATTGGTGTGAGTTTGTCCTCACTGATCATGATGTGGAAGTGTCTTGAGAGGCACCAATATTTAATATATAAAAAACCTTTGCTCCATCGTATTGCAGTGCATTATGAAGAATCCACTCAGACGTTATGTCCAGAGGCTGCATGTACAGTACAGTGTCCTGCTGCTGAGACGCATCCTCATGCTAAACCATGATGATTCTCACATTCGAGCCCTTTCCCGCTGTAACCTGGAGTTGTACGTCCGGGATACAGTGTTCCAAGCATCCATATACCGGTCCATACACATGGCAATACATTTCTGTGAAAACAAGTATTCATCACTCACCATCTAAATTATTACACACATATTTATACATGAATAAAAACAGACAATTCTCTTCAAATTAGGGGTGACACAAATCACATTGTAAAGAATCAGTCAATGTCATGTTACCTGTTCAGAGTTGTCCAAGCTGCTTCCTGGTTTACCAATGCACTTTTTGAAACATTTGTCAGTCATTCTCTGCAAAATAAGCAAAATGTTGACAGTTATTTAAGTCCACTGATCACAACACAGTAGACTTACAACGAATGGAACCTGTACAACATCAATTTCTCCATGTACATTTGCTACTGCCTAAATGGTAGCAGTAACAAATGTCCAATGAGTGTATCCTAAATATGATATTATCACAGAGTGATAACATATCTCCTACCTGCAGTAGCTCTTGAGCATTAGCCACAGCTATCTGGACCTTGACCTGCTCCATTATCGTCCCAGCGTCCATTTTACCTCCAGACCCTCCTGCAGCAAACTCGGATCCAAAGTTGTCCATGTCACAGAGGTGTCGGTAAAGTCACAATAAAAGTACAAAGCTCCAGGACTAGTGCACGTGTGATCAGAGGATCCGAGCTACGTAAAGCCGATGCCCTTGACTGCGGCGGAAGTCACTACGTCACTTCCGCAAACAGAGGGTTGGAGCAAAAGGGGGAAAAAAACATGTTATTAGAAAATATATACAGTCTATGGTTGTTTGTGGTGTCATAATTCATGCAGCTTTGGATATTTAAAAACGGGTTTTAAAGAGTGACTGAAAAAAGTACACACAGTATGCAGTATCTCCATACACACATTTGGCCACACGGTGGCGCCATGTGGTGATTTTTAGCCACTGCTGGTTGAGCGTTTGTTCAACGAATTCGTTTATTATGGATTTATTGTGGATCTATTAGGTTTACATCAGATACTTAGGGAAAAGGACACTTTTGTGTTTTCACGGGTATTTCTATTAGAGCATATATATGTATATATATATATATATATATATATATATATATATATATATATATATATATATATATATATATATATATATATATTATATATATATATATATATATATATTATATATATATATATATATATATATATATATATATATATTATATATATATATTATATATATATATATATATATATGACGTATATATTTATCTATTATGTCAGTTAAATCAGTCTGGTCGTGTCTGGCCCTTGGAATATGATGTTGTGCTAGAAGATGGTTGCAGACACATTGTTTTTGAAGCCCATTTTTGCAGGCTGACCCAGAGCCTCCTTATGTTTCGGACAGGATGACCTCACTGGACCACCTGCCTTGAGAGAAAAACTTACACCACTGCAAGAGGTGGCTTCAGTTTACATCCTTTGTTCTGGGGCTGTCACTAATAACTGCAAAAAGAATCAAAGGCCTTTTACACAAAGCTTGCCTTGAATTTGTATGCAAATTGTCACCTAACACTCAATTCTAGTTGTGTTACGATACAGACAATAGGGGTCGGTTAAGATGCACTATAAAGGATGAACCCCAATAAGAATATTGAATTTAATCAGTTGTATACTCTTTACACTTTTACAATGAATACACATTCAAAGAAATATTGTGTACATGCATCTAACAATATATCGTTTGTTTTTTGTTTGTGTTACCCAGTATCAGTCTGTTTGACATTCTGACTTGATTACGTTGGCAGCTGAGCCATGTGGAACTCTTGATAAATTCCTCTAAATCCTCACTACCATTGAAATCCTTCAGAAAATGAAAAGAATGTTGAGCCAGAATCAATCTCATTCCACCATTGAGCACATGTTATCCCATGTCGACAGGGAGGGCTACTTTTACAAACAAAAGGGTCTCTTGGATTGGCCTCTTCATAACAACACGATGCCAACAGTGGCAGTATGTTCAATTTAGCATGAGTTGATTTCATCCTAAGTTGAACTACTTTTGGTGTAGAAACAATGAAGTACGATAAACAATATTTCCATAAGAATATGTTTAATGGTTCTAAAGGTCATATTATATTTGTAACTTTGAATTCGTAGAGGAATTACAGGTCATATTATTTGCTAATTACATAAATTGAATAAATGTAAAGTATTTGTGGTGTATGAGCCTCTTGGAGAACATTTCCCAAGAAAAGCCATAAGCAACATGCACTCAGCAGTAGGAGTGTGACGATATATCGATATCGTGATGTATTGTGATACTTTCTCACGCGATCGATTATTGATATGCTTTTGCCAAGTATCGATTTCAATCTTTAAAAAAACTGACACCAATTCCACCGGGCAGCCGTCTGAAACCGTCTGCCACAAATGAGGAAATGACGCACATTAAATAGACCAGAGTAAACAAAGACTTATCTACTCTAGATATTACACAATGAAAAGTCAGTATTGATATGTGTCGCTCAAGGCTCCTCTGTACACTTCCTTCCTCTGATACAACTCTGATACTCGTAATAATCTTATTTGATCTGAACATATTGTTCAATGACCCAGATATTGCCAAAGAAACACATCTCCATCTATCAGCTGACCTGCTCCCAACAGACCATATGTGCTGTATTTGAATCCAGAGATGAGAATTACAGTAGTTAATAACTTACAATTATAACTATTTTGTGCTTATTCAGATTGCTTTACTAAAATATTTCTATAACAGTATATTTCTGACCAATATAGCGATAATCGTCATATCGTGATATAATCGTTATCGTGAGCTTTGTATTGTAATTGTATTTAAATATATTAATGTATTAAAATATTCGACCCAAAAAAGGTCGTTTACTAGACCATGCGCTACGTGCCTGCATATATCTAACTTAAAAAGGCAATCAAATCTGTTTCATTTTGTGGAGAGGCTGATGGTTTCTTCACAGTCTCAGATGAAGCGGTTTGGAGTCGTGCGCATTGGACAAAGGCCGCGGGAGGAGGAGCCATGCGTCCAGATACACACTGCCTTTTCTCTCGCCTCTACTATTCTGTGCGTGGCTTTACGTGAACGAGCAGAACTTTTCCTGCACTACTCCAAGACTTCTACAACGGAACAAAACCAAATGGCCACGCGGCTGTATGCGCATTGTGGACGAGGCGATACTTTGAAACCAGAGGACATATTTCTATAATTGCGCACAAACTTTCCTCAATCCAGCGGCTAAAGCTGTCGACATAAAGGAATACTGACCACTCCGCGTACGGCCAAGGTAAAGGATTCAAAATGCATGTTTTTGGGCTTTTCTCTTCCAGTTAACACGTTATTTTGTCCTATACACGTACCAATGCGCAGTGGAAAGTTTGTTATGAGTGGATTTCTTTGATGTTGGCTGCAGCCGCTGTTGTAAAGCTGGCCGGATGTTTGCAGATCAACTTGGGACGAAAGTTGAGCGCTGGCAAAAACGCGTCTGGCTTTAGTTTCATATTAAATGTCATAACTGAGCCACTGCGGAAGTCTATTTGCAGTTTTTTTTAAATATACTTTGTTGGCGTTATTTTTATGTAGGCCTTCCAATTTCGTTAGCAATTGAAGTTAATGAGAACAAAAATCAGCCTTAATATATTTTCCCTTAATTTTTTTCTTTTATTATAATGTTTGTTTTTTTTTCAATTATATTTTTGTCATAACACATTGCAGTATTTATATGTTATGATTGAGAATTGTCTATTGGATGTACAGAAAAGTCTATGCCCTAAAGTTGGCTGGTTTGATCTGAACTATGCTGTTGTATGGGAGCCAACAAGAGCAGGCGGACAGCTTTTATCCAGTGTCTTTCAAGGTGAGTCATCTCCCTGAAATGTTCACGAGGGATAAAAAGTGGGAAGTACAAGGCCAGGTGTTGCATACTTATCATTTATTACTCAGACTTGTGTAAAGATCTTCAGCTGATACGTCGTTTATGACTTTATTGATTTATGTTTTATGGAGGTAAAAGGTGTCCCGCCTCAATGTCAACTCACCTGCTGCTTTTTCCTTCATTTTATTCTCATTCCCTTTCATCTCTGGAAAGTCTAAAGTTCATTTCCGCTTTCCCACTGACAGATATCACACCTACCAGACCGTACTGATACGTTTGAAGGGTTGTGCTCATGTTGAATGAAATGTCCCTGTTCCGAAGGACTGTGTAATAGCTTCCAAAGTTTACAATATTCTATACAGACTTTATAACACATGCAGCCAGCGAAAGTTCAATTTGGTAGACGTCAGCCAAAGGTAACCCCTCCAGGCCGGTTCTCATCCCCAGCCTATCGCACGGCAAACGCCCCCTTCCAATCACCGGTCCAGCCAGGCAAGCTGCTTAAAAGCGGAGGAACTCCCATTCTCGGCCTTCTCGAAGCCTGCAACCACCGCCTCCCCTCCTCCTCCTCTTCACCCTGCCTTCATTCTGCCTTCAATCTGCTTCCCGCTGCAAATGCCGCCACCAGTGCCTAGGTCCCGGGGGATTGGCTCGCTCCTTCGCATGGAGGCCCTCCGATCCGAAGGCCGCACCGGGGCCTAGGGCGCCAAACCTCCTCCCAATAAAATACTCAAAGCTTCTTGTTTCTCGTCTCTCCAAATTGAAATGTCAATAGACGTGTTATTACAAGAATACATTCCTCAGGCTTTTTAATCTTTAGTTGTTTTTTCAAATAAATCAGTCAATGGTTCCATAGTCAACAATATATAAAGTATTAGTACATTTTTTCGATGGGGAAACAGAAAAAAATAGAAGATTGGAGATTTTGATGTTTGTTATTTAGCCAGCTCAAACTATCTATTCACTTTAAAAAAATTAATTACTATATTTGTAATCCTAAAAAGTTGTTTTTCAATGAACATTTAAGATACGTAATATATAGCAGATTTTCCAGGGCTCCTTTTTAGTAAACTAATTGATTGGAAGTGCGTTTATATAGCTGGCTTAAGAATTTCTTTGTTCGACTACAACCTCAATAATACTAAACATGTACAATCAAACTAACTGTTTGATTAGCCGACAGATCAAACAAGGTGCTGCTGAGCTGACTCATAGATTACTATCATAATAGAATCTGATTTCTTCTGCTTTCCCTTCACAGGCCTATGTCAAGATGTCTGTCAGCAATCATGAAAATCGAAAGTCCCGCTCCAGCTCGGGATCCATGAACATCCATTTGTTTCACAAGACATCCCACGCTGACAGTCTCCTGACCCAACTGAACCTACTGCGCAAGCGAAATGTGTTCACCGATGTTGTCCTGAGGGCCGGTCAGCGCGCCTTCCCATGTCACAGGGCAGTCCTGGCCTCATGCAGCAGGTACTTTGAGGCCATGTTCAGTGGAGGGCTTAGAGAGAGCCGCGATGCTGAGGTCAACTTTCACGATTCGTTACATCCAGAAGTTTTGGAGCTTCTGTTAGACTATGCCTATTCTGCACGAATCATCATAAACGAGGAGAACGCAGAGTCGCTCCTCGAAGCTGGGGATATGCTCCAGTTCCATGACATCAGGGACTCTGCATCTGAGTTTTTAGAAAAGAACCTCCATCAAACGAACTGTCTGGGAATGATGCTCCTGTCTGACGCTCATCAGTGCCAGAGACTGTATGAGCTGTCGTGGAGGATGTGCCTGGCTAACTTTGCCACGCTCTTCAAAACGGAGGACTTCCTCAGGCTGCCAAAAGATAAAGTGAAGGAGCTCATTCTGAGTGAGGAGCTGGAGGTAGAGGATGAGAGTCTTGTGTATGAAGCAGTAATAGACTGGGTGAAATCAGATATGGAGCAGAGGCACAGTGAGCTGCCTGAGCTGTTACGTTGTGTCAGGTTGGCTCTGCTGCCAGAGACTTACTTACTGAAACACGTGGCCTCTGAGGAGCTGGTCATGTGTCATAAAGTGGGACGCGAGATTGTGGAAGACGCGGTAAGCTGCAAAACCAGGATCCTCCAAAACGATGGTCTGGTCACAGGGTTCTGTGCTCGCCCCCGAAAGGTGAGCCAGGCCCTGCTGCTGCTGGGAGGACAGACTTTCATGTGTGATAAAGTTTACATGATCGATAACAAGACGAAGGAAATCACTCCCAAAACGGACATCCCCAGCCCGAGGAAGGAGTGCAGTGCCTGTGCCATTGGCTCTAAAGTAAGTCCATGTGATATGCATATCTATTCAAACCAGTGTGTAATGTTTGTATTGAGACTTCTTCTGCATGTTGTAGGTGTATGTCACTGGTGGCCGCGGCTCGGAGAACGGCGCCTCGAAGGACGTTTGGGTCTACGACACGCTTCATGACGAGTGGTCCAAAGCAGCGCCCATGTTTGTGGCCCGGTTTGGACATGGATCAGCCGAACTTGACCACATGCTGTATGTGGTTGGAGGACATACTTCTTTGGCTGGCTCTTTCCCCGCCTCTCCATCAGTGTCTCTCAAACAGGTGGAGCAGTACGACCCTCAGACTAACAAGTGGACACTGGTGGCTCCCCTCAGAGAAGGAGTGAGCAATGCTGCCGTGGTCGGTGCCAAAAACAAACTGTTTGCTTTCGGAGGCACAAGTGTGAACAGAGATAAATACCCTAAAGTACAATGTTTTGACCCTTGTCAAAACCGCTGGTCTGTGCCGGCGGCCTGTCCACAGCTGTGGCGCTACACTGCTGCAGCGGTAGTGGGAAACCATGTGGTTGTGATTGGGGGGGACACAGAGTTCTCTGCCAGCTCTGCGTATCGATTCAACAGTGAAACGTACCAGTGGTCCAAGTTCGGAGACGTCACCGCCAAAAGAATCAGCTGCCATGCAGTAGCTTCCGGAAACAGACTGTATGTTGTGGGAGGCTACTTTGGGGCACAGAGGTGTAAGACTCTGGACTGTTATGATCCATCCTCAGACTCCTGGGACAGTGTGACCAGTGTGCCCTACTCTCTCATTCCTACTGCCTTCGTCAGCACATGGAAGTACCTCCCTGCTTGATCGTGAGTAATTACTTATACTTCTCTATGTACCTCCATAGTCACTGTCAGAGTATGTGTAGTATGAGTATATGTAGAGTGAGTCAACCCTCAGGTGGAAGTGCTCCTGTAAAGCCCCTGACTGTTTTTAGCGTTGCCGATGGTAACAGTTCCACATGATCTGGCTGTGATGGCTGCTGTTGGATAAACACAGAGCAGTCCTGGTTTGGATCGCAGGAGGAATGTGAGCTCTGGGTAATTACAGAAGTGACACTGTGACTGACAGCAGAGAGGATCATGCCTGAACATGCAGCGCAGCAGATAAAGCAGAGCGGCTCCTGCGGACTGGCCCCCAGAAAAAACTAACCTCCACAATATGAGTCACAAGTTTCAAAACTCCCTTAAATCTCAATAGCTGATCTGACACATTGTCTTGATGAACTATTTGTGCCTAAAGGGGGATTATCTAATCTCCGATTTTTCAAATGATTATATAATAACCAATGTACAAAATGCACATGTGATGAGTAACCAATGTCAGGTCAGAGAGAGCGTGATTTGAAATTTAATAATGGCATATTCTTCTTAGTGTTGATATGTTCCGCTGTAAGGAAGTACATCCCACCCTATATCAATATTGAGAATGTTTGATCATCATTCTAATGGATTTATATGTTGCCATGATAGTCTGTAATCTGATCTTCAGGTTGATGATGTAATCTGTGGAAAATAGTTAATGTCAGTGCTGCTTTATGGATTTATTATACTTGTGGTTTTAGCTCATGTTTGATCATAAAATAGCCCTTAATTGAAAAACATCTTATTATGTAATTTGTAGCCCTAAGAATTGCAGTTTAATACGGCATGTATTTCATTTTATGTGTAGCAAGTAACCACATAAATGCAGCCGTGATGAAGTGGAAAAACATTCATGTGAAGTCCCTGTGTCTACAGTAAACAGCTGTGATGGAGATGGGGGCTTACCATAACGTACTGTGGGCCGCTGTCTCTCTGGAACCGTTTTTACCAGAGACAGACTGGCGAGGAGAGATCACAGCAGCAGCTCCTTATGAACATTCACTTATAGCAGTTCAGGTCCTTCATGTTTTAATTACACCAGAGATGGAAAAAGTTCACTTTTGAAAAGCCGTAGTCCTGAAGTTTTGTTTTAGACCTGAATGTTCTCTCTTCTCATCTGGGACAACGGTGTCAAAGAGCATAATACAACATGTGGTCTTGCACACTACAGCCCAAGTCTGATCTCATGAAGCTAAGCAGCTCAGGGCCTGATTAGTACTTGGATGGGAAATTCCAGGTGTCATTACGACTGTATTACTGTTGTTGTGTCTTTTGGCACAACAGCAATATAGCCTTGAATGTTAGTGGAAGATGAACGAGAGATTGGCAGACTCTCAATCTACCCCAGCTCAGTAGCTTGCCACCAATGTGTATGTATAATAGTAAATAAATACACTGACAATTATTATACTTGAAATCTTTTCTTGTCAAAGGGTCTCAGAGTAAAGTATTTGATTTCATAGCCCCATGAATGAAACTGAAATATAGCTATTCTGCTCCAAAGATTAATAGTTCTTTCCTTATTAAGTTATTATTATGGATTATGTGTATTTTGTGTAACATTTCTGTTTCTCTTCGTAATACAACAATTTCACCACAACATATTGGCAGGGGCTACAGTGCGGGAAAAACAGGGTTCTACTTTGCTCCATTTGGCCACCTTTACTAAAAACATGTCTAAAAATACTTCCCCAGGCTGTTAACATTCAGCTGGGGTCAAAGAGAAAAAATAATAATGTTTACCTCGTCCTTTCATGTTTATGTCGAGGCCAAGTCCCTGCAGTCAGCTGTTGGACTGTTCACTAGTTTTGTTGTGACTTTTTACGCAGCCGTGAAACCGCTCTTCAACTCGTACAACCGCTCTGACCCTCCCCCCGGCCGCACACATCGCTGCCAGTGCCTGTCCTTTAAAAAGCCAACCACCCTTACTCTAATTTGGGAGGAATGAAGGTGTGGCTTGCATTTTCATTAGTAATGATTTGTAAAGATGCTTTCTGGTCATAGATATGTGGTTGTCCGGGCAGCTTGGATGGCATGTATGGGTGTACCAGTCCTCGTGCCCTGCTTTGTCACCATCTACTGCAGTTTGTGGCCTCTGTGCATTTTCACCAGATGTGACCAACCACAGACTCCTACTCCAAACCCAAAAGCCACTGTTGATGGAAAAGTATTTCGGTGGTATTTGTTATGGGCTGGATTGTTGAGAAAAATAACTCAAATGTGCTGGCCAATTATGTTTGGATGATGAAAAACTGACATATACACCATTTTATCATCATCATTTTTACATTTGTTATAGAGTAGTAAAGGATCTAACCCTAACATATTATGCAAAATTTACTTTTTGGAGCCCCGTGTGACAACGTTGTTCCTTTTGCGAAAAACAAAAGAGTTGTTTTAGACCCATCCATGCTAACTTCTGGCACAAATATGTAACTCCACCCCTTCTTTCTAAAAGCGTCTGTCTCAGTCCTGTAATATTGTGATGTCATTGTACCACATGCTCCGGATTTTCCTTCCCTTTAAAACAAAAGTAGTGCAATGACGCTCTTTACAATCGCATGGCTGTGTTTGCGGCTTGTAGTTTGAACAAATTATACTCCCCCTCTGGTGCTATTATGGGGATAGAACAGGCAGATAGCATTCTTTACTCTTGATTCGCCATATATTTTGTACCTATATTATTTCTAAAGCATGAAATCAGTAAAAAGTCGAAGTGTCTAAATGCATAAATCACATTTTGCGATCACTGCACATTCATGAAAGCCAGACCATAGTATGAGCATAAGGTCACAGCACATTTAAGGCTGCCGGCTCGTGTCTTGCCCCAAACCACTGAACTGTGACGGCCGTGAGCTGACTCCATCCTACGCTTGGGCTTTTGTTTTCTCTGCCCCCTCCCTCCTCATCATCCTGGGCCACTTCTAAAAACACACTCTCGCTCTCAAACCACCTTTCTCTCTTTTTACAAACACTCTCAGTGGCCATCGGAGAATAGATCTGAGGCGTGCGATGGTGGTGTACACCTGGACAGGGTCAGGGGTCAACAGGGCTCTCTGCTTCTCTGGAGACAGCTGCAGTAAAATGGTGGAGGTCAGTAAGAGGCCCCCACTGACTCAATACTAATGTTTTATTAATGTCTCACTGTGAGGGCCACCAGGAGCATAGGCTGAATGCAGCTTTTATTTTGGCATCTGTGTACGACACTTCGACACACACGCGCCGTCGGGGGCTGCACGTGCGCACACACTTCCTGTTCCCCCGAGTAATCAGCCGACCCGTCTGCACATTACAGCCATGGGCACGACTGCTGCAATTTGCATAAACTTAATGGACTTTTTATTGGGCTTTTCTCCACGCTGCCACAAGCAGAAAAAGGAAAAGTGGAAAGACGCTGGGAATGGCCGCATAATCACCCAGACTAATTTGATTACGCCCTTAAAAAGCGATGAGCTGTCATACACTTAACGCACAGCTCTTCTGTAAGCCAGCTGAGGGCCGCGTAATTAATCAGCATTATGCAATATTTGTCTGCGAAACAGTGGAGTAAGTGGAGCTGACTCTACAGCCTTTGTTCTGCTCCGGCACAGCCCCGAAGGCTTCAATGAAACACGGGCCATTAGCACATGTGCCGTTACTTTAAGACACTGGTGTGCATCCTCCAGTCTATAGTGAGGGAAAAACAATAGAAACAACAGCGGATCTCTGGGTGGTCTTTTACTTCAGGATAACTGGGCAGTAATAAAAAGCATACAGTAAACCAGGCCAGTGAAAGATGGAGACACTATGGTGTGCTTTTGTGTGACAATAGCCCAAGCAATGTGTTTCGAAATAGAAATATCTACAAGAATTTTTGAACTTTTGTGGTTGCAATAAGCAAATCACAAAGACTGCATTTTTTAAAGGTTCTTTCCAAACAAACAAGGGATAAAAGATAAGCGAAACGATTTGTTGATTTGAGTTTATATTCAGAATCTAAATAAACCAAAACCTTTGTAATTTTAAGATAAATGTCTATTTTTGTCTATTTAATTAAAAGTTTATTCTGTATATTAAATGTTTTTTGCAACATTTCTACTAAAAAAAGGGTTAGAACCCGTGTAAAAATGTTTTGAAATGTGTGGGAGTTGTGTATGAGGTAATGGTTGAATGGTTAAAAAAAAAAATAAGATCTAGAAAATCGCAATCGCAATGTTCATTTGACTTCATTTGTTTATTTCAATAGGTACATTGCACATTGTTCTAAATTTCTTTCTGCAGTCCCTCGGAAAGATGTAAAATGCCAGCCAAAAACATTTGAATATAATTTAGTAAAGTAGAAATATTGCAATAAAACACACGTAATTAGAACCTATACACATAGACACCATACCATATTTCTGATCAATGGAAAATTTAATATATAATATTTTGGGTGGTACAGTGGCTGAGTTGATGGCACTCTCGCCTCTCAGCAAGAAGGTCCTGGGTTCGAATCCCGGTCGGAACAGGGTCTTTCTGAGTGGAGTTTGCCTGTTCTCCCCGTGTCTTCGTCGGTTTCCTCCGGGTGCTCCGGTTTCCCCTACCACTAAAAACATGTACAATTGGTCTGGCGTGCGCCTCCTGTACTGGCCCCGCTCCCATCTCTGTGTGGAGTGAGAGACAAATGCCCAAAAATATCAATTGTAAACCGCTTTGTGACTCTGGTCTGTGAAAGGCGGTATATGAATAAAGAAGAGAAGAAGAATATTACAAAAAGATATTTTGCCAAAATCGGTTGTAAGGTAAAATCACAGCTCCTCTGCTTGACTTCATCGAGCTGCGTGATTCACCATTTTGACAAAGTATTATTACATTTCACACATTTCTTGTTTTAATCCTTATTGTTGATTCTCCCACTGCCCATATACGGTCATATTTAGCAGTCTCAGTTTTATCATTGGCAGCATGGCCCTGGCAGTGACCCACGAACAGAACAAACACGAGCAGTGGAAAGTTCCATGCATGCGGTGGTTCCATGGATAAGGGCTGCCACTGTAGCTCTGCTGTGGCTTTGATCAGAGCGCTGAGCTGACCAGTGGCACCAGAACTGTGGAGTAATGAGGCCAGAGCAGTTTATGTGTCTCAAAGGCACGGACCAGAAACCGCACAGTCCCTGGTTGGGCTCCCTGTTGTTTTCTCTCCGTCTCCTCTTCTCGTAATGTATTTACTTGGTTCCCGATTATGATGGTTATTTTGATGAAAAGTGATTATGTTTTCATTTGTGTGCAAAATATTGAGCCATTTTATAGTGGTTGCAGAATCTACTTTCACTCTTTGACTGAGATGGCAAATGCATACATAACAAAACAACCCATTTTCTAAGTAAAACTATGTATTTCTCCTTTGAGTGATACTTAGTGCATTAACCTATCCTTAACCATAATTGTTACCGATGTGAATGCGTTTCATAAAATATATGTTACTGAACTACAAACCAGTGTTAAAGCTGTAGTACCTAAGCCCCAAAACACAAATTATTGAACTACGTAATAAAATCCATCTCCATCCTTTCTCTCTCAATAGTTCAATCACTAGTTTCTACATGCATGTTATTTTGGTGTTCTCCACATCTATAGATCTGCTTTCTTTGACAGAAAAGTGCAAACGAGACACAAACAAACACAATTTACTATTTATGAACTAATAAAGTTTGGTACTTAAGCTTTATATTGGACAACCTTAATCCTGCAGCTTTTTGTTTCAGTAGAAAGTACCAATATTTGGGTTTTATAAGTACGGTAAATGTGTAAAACACGGCAGAATCATAAATAATCGAGTAAAGTACGTGTAACAGAAAAAGATCAATCAGTCAAGTCAGTCATTATTTAACTAAACCGTTATTTGAATGTATGTTATGTCCAATAGACCAGATGCTACTGTCTCTGCTGCTGTCGGGCAGTTGCTTTGTGCCTCGGGGGACTTGTCCAACAGTAGCAGAAGTAGCAGATGTGAACAGAATGAAAGCTTCTGTTGCCAGAGTGTGTCTTTGCATTTGGAAATGAACTTATTGGGTTATCCAAACAGCGGAGATAACCTTTTACCGTCAACACTGAGGCAGTTTGTTCGAAAGCAGCATCCATCATCTTACTTCCCAGAAATGTTAATTGCAGATAAATAAGCAGAACGTTTGGGGTGGGCTCCATCCACTGGGACATTCCATCGCAACAGTGAAAATTAGAAGTTAGAGCCTCCGAGGCCCAAGTAGAAATGACAGAGACGGCAGAATGTAAAATATGCAATGACGCAAAGAGAGATTGATCATCCTTCAAACTTATAGAATGGATGGAGGATGTTTACTTGGGGCCATCGCAAAAATAGGTCATGGAGCTCTTTGAAAAAGTCAATCTGTTTGGAAATGATTAATCAATATTAAATAAGGTCAGTGCAAAAATTGAGTACATTATATGGATGAAAAAGCCACCATCTCGTTGGCAATATTCATATGATATAATTCGATTTTCTTGCATATATTTTTACATTAAAAACTGTGGTACCTCACTTTCAACTAGTTTGTGGCTCTAAAACAATTTGGTTCAATCCTGGTTTTCATATGCTTGTATTCACATCTTTAGATCAGCTTTTTCAGACAGAAAAGTGAAACGTTTTTTACATAACATGACTTCTAGTTGGGCACTTCCACCTCTGCTACACAGCCTTCTCTTGTCCTATGATTAAATAACGTCCCAGGCTGCCCCCATAACCAGTGTCACTGACATCAGCTCATGTGAACATTCCAGCTTCACACCCTCCTCATCATGCGCTCCGAGCTCCACACAGACCGCCTTCACCACAGCATTAATCTGTCTGTTTGTGTCCCCTCTGTCTCCTGCAGGTCTGGTATGCGGCCTGTACCACCGCACTGCACCCACCGCAGCCCATCCAGCCTGATCCGCATTCATATGAGAGCGGCCTGGGAGAGGTGGACGTCCTGTTTACCCGTGTGGCCTGTGTGGTTTTCCCATGAGCCGGTGCCTGGCTACACGCTGATGACCAACTGAAGTTTGCCTTGGACACATAAAACTGTTGAGATCGTCCCTTCTACGGTTTTTCTTTAAAGACTGAGGCTTGACGAGAAAATTGTGTGTGATTTTTCTTTCTGTCTGTACTTTAAAGCTCTTGGATTGGGGCTTCCCTCAAAGTTGGGGAACTAAATTGATATCTTTCTCAGTGTATAAATACATGGCCACATTAGACAGACAGCCTTTTGTGGTCAAGCAACTTACATTGTGTTTCTGGATGTTTTTTCTGAATTCTGCCAGTAATGTTCAGTTTGTCTCAGGGCCCTGTGTAGTTTTGGTTTTTGAGTTATTGTTATCTTACTATATTATGAATGTACCTAAAGCATTCTCAAGAGATCTTTAAAAACCTTGATTGCCAAACTTAAGAAGCTAAAACACTTTTTACTGACTAAAGAATAGAAAGCTAAGTTGTTGAAGGTATATTAAAGGAGACATACGATGTAACATTTTTATAGGCTTTAACCATGTTATTTATTTCTATCCCCCTAATCCCTGCCCCCTCTTTTTATTTTTTTTATATAAATGATGTATTTATTTTCAAAAAACAAGAACACATTCACCCACGTCCAGGACAGAAACGTTCATATTTAGCTTATATCAAAACTAAACATGAACATCGTTATATATCAAACAAACAAAAATGTTGATTTAAGATGGGAAATTGTTCTATTCCACGTGTTATTGACATTTTAAACCATTTTCAACAATAAAATCAGGATTATCAGCTGCTTGCTGTTTTCATATTTCGCTTTGAAGACTCGGATCATCTCTTAGAGGCGGTCTTTGTACCTGTGTCCATTATTTTGCAGTTTCATATCAGTAGCGGCGTATACTGAAGAAATATTCTTCAAAAAGTTAGCATGGTATGTCTCCTTTAACATGTGTACATTGTAACTGTACTATCTTAATAGAAGTCTCCTGTGAATATATTGCATTGTTGCTGTATAATAACTTTATAGATGACTTTGATTTGCACAGTTTGTACAAAGATCTTGTATTGGTCTTAATTTTGACTCTCGTCTTAGCCCGACCTCGGGTGATGTGAATAATCCAAGCCTTTTTGTAGCAAATGCTGGAGTCTTTCCTCTTTTCCCGTGCAAGTCTTAGGATGTCCTGTATGATTGTATGTTCTGCTCATGTCCTGTCAATAAAGGCTGTCATAATGAACATGCGTATCCTCGCTCCGGTGTCTTCTCCTCGGAATGACTGGAATCCTCTTGTGAAGCACCAAAAGCAGCTTGACACTTGATAGTTTACACAGCAGCTTTGTTATTAACTGTGGCCGCACCTGTTCCCTTTCTTTCTCAACACCAATAGAAGTGGGAGCGCAGTGTTGTCATCTGTTTTGTCATTAGGCAAGGCATGTGTTTTTGTACAGCACGAGTCATACCCAGTGCATTACAAAACTAAAAAGAAAACATTGAAATCATTAAACACATTAAAAAAAGTAACTACATTGATTTAAAATAATGCATTTAAAACAATCTTTTTATTATGGCAGAGAGAAGAAGTACGTCTCTTGTTTTAGAGGCATAACGATTTTCACATTCACAAATAATAAGTTATCAGACTTTCTTTCATTGCAAAAATAAAAAAACATATTGTAAAGGGTTAGGAGTATCTTAAAGCAAGTATTGAATGTCTTAAAACAGGATTTGCCAATGGAACAAACAATGTTATATATTTTTGGGTTCTGTTGTCAAATCTTGTACTAAAAAGTGCTTTAATCAAGATAAATTTAACGTTTTACTTTCTGAAATTAGTATCATGTTTTACGGTGTATTTACAGTATATGAAGTTCTCTATTTCTCTGTTTAATAAAAAAGTACAGACATACAAAATTGAGATATTGTGAACATTTCAATTATATCTCAGAAAGTAAAAAGAAAAATACAAGAAACAAATGATTAAGATTAAAAGATCCTTTATTCGTCCGACAGTGGGGAAATGTCAGTGTTGCATCACCAGTTACAGAACAGTATGAATGAGGCTCACACAGCACATCATAAAATAACAATAAATAAAAGAATATAAAAGTGTAAAATCTCTATCTTCAGCATCATGAGTACAAAAAACTCTGACTTTAGCAGAATAAAGAAGTATAAAATCTCTACCTTTGACATAATAAGAAGCAAGTATAAAGTACTGTGTATTCTAGTGAAAGTAATAGTTGTATGTTTACATCTGTTCATGTTAGCAGCACGAGGGTCTGGGACAAAGAATACAGTATTTCACTCATCCAGAACATTTCATTTGATTACGTGTGCTTCAACGCAGAGTCAGACATGTGGACGCTTTGCAAAAGTGTTTGCAAGTTAAATTCATGTTTCCCCTGAGTCTGGGCTGTAATGTTTGCTTATAATAAAAGCAGTGTGCTCTTCACAAATTAAACCCATGGCCCATGCAAGCTCGAGTACCTTATTCTGAAATCATTAAAAACAATGCAAAATTCATTATTCCCGGCTCACGGTTCTATCACTGGTTTCCGCATGCTCGTTTTTTTTGGCTTCTGTCACGTTTAGATCAGATTTTTCAAACAGAAATTGAAAAAGAGAGGTCCACGTCAGTCAGCCAAAACAGCTCTCAGGTCAAAGAATCAAACTCACACACTGTTTATGTGCGAAAGTTGAAGACAGCGTGGTCTTATTTCTTCACAAAATGTTAATTAAAAAAGACTTTCTGTGTTGGGGCAAACAAAATGTATTTATGAAACAAAAAGTTAGTTACTCCAGCTGTGATTCAATTAAATTCATTTCCATTTATTTTTGTATAGCCCTAAACCACAACAGTAGTTATCTCAAGGAAAAACTCAAACAGTGGGAGAAATGTGAGCAACCTTCGGGAGATCCACATCGAGAGAGGGACCCGCGCCACACGGACGGGCTTTAGATCCAGGACCTAAGCTACAGAACGAGGACCAAGACCATGAAGCGGTTGTAGAACTTGGACAGGTCCGGAGCAGCTCCCAGGTGGGTCGGGCAGGGCAGTCCGCAGGTGTAGCTGGAGGAGGCCAGGTTCAGAGGTCCCGTCGTCGCTCCACGAAATAGACAATGGGACAACGGATGAATAGCAATGAACAGACTACAGTCAAAATCCCAATAATGCAGACAGATAGAGTGGGAAGGAGGAGAGGATAGTGCTCAAGTTACCATACTTCTCCCAGCAAACTGACTCCCTACGCAGCTTGACTGACAGTCTGAGATGTTTAGTCTGCCCTGAGTTTTACCTTCCTAACCATATGCTGAACTGAAAAGGACAGTTTTAAGCCTGGCCTTGAAAGTAGAGACCGTGTCTGCTTCCATAACATGGATGGGAAGCTGATTCCACAGTAAAGGAGCCCGTGGTGATGTACTATAAGTGCTTTTGATGTGTCCAAATTACATAAAACTGTGACATAATGCAACAGTGTTGACGGGTCTTTTCAAGGCCAGTGACAGAACTTCAAATGGCTGCTGTTAATTGCACATAAACAAGCTGCGGCGAGACCAAAACCATTGGAGAGATGACGTCATCGACGGGACAATCAGAATGCATTCTGGGCACTCTCTTTACAGTATAGTCAGTCAGAGCCGACATGTACTGTATGCTCTGAGACATCCATCAAACGGCTCAGATGAAACGGTTCAGTCTGAATAGAGCTGGCCCAGGACAGCAGGACAAACCCCCCCTTTAATGACAACAATTGTGACATAAAACGTTCAAACACATTTCCCCAGCAGTGCAATTAAGCCGCGGGGAATAAACAGTCATTTCAAAGTCGGTCAAAAACAAAAGATGCTCTGAAGCTGGTAACACAAAAGACGGACACTGAACAATGACAACGCTTCACAACAATATGACTGTGTGTGTGAATGTGTGTGTGTGTGTTTGTGTGTGTGTGTGTGTGTGTTTGTGCGAGTGTGCGTGTATTTAATCAAGAAGTACTGCAAACGAGCTCTTATTATGGCTAAGATAAAGGGACCAGTGAGGTGGAACGAGCTGAACGCCACAGTCTGCTCCTCTGTCTAAACATCGGCGTGTGTCTGGTGCCCCGGGACGCCCAGCTGGGACCCTCTCAGACCAATGCACACTGAGACCTCACCCCTGAGTGCATGGGGGTGTCCTGCCTGCAGCCTGGTGAAGGAGACCCCATTTAATAGATCAATACAAAGCCTGCAGCGGAAAAGATAATGGGGAAGATGGATCTAGTTATCTGCTTATTAGCTCCACACTCTAACCGATAAGAAAGCTGCTTGTGTACGGGCATCAGCTTGAAAATAAAGAATTAAAAAATATAGAAAAATTCAATTGACTTCATATTATAATTCTTGATTCTTGATTTCTTGATAATTCTTAACTGTATTTGAAGCTGGAGTGCAGTATCTAACTTTGAACCCCAATGAAAAATAACTTAAAAAATGATATAACTAGCTCTGAAACAGTTTGGTTCTAACGTTAGTGTTCACATGCAGTTTTGACCCATATCACATTTTAAGATCAGCTTTTTCAGTGAAAAGGATACCAGCCCTCACTCAGCCAATCAGCTCTCAGAATGAAAAAGATAACATGTACTCTAAAAAGATAAAGACAGTGGTCTGATTTGTTCACAAAATGTTAAACAACTTTCCTTTTTCTTTAACATTTTTGAGTTTTTTTGCAGATATGTTTTGACAGTTTAAAATAAGACGGCACAGTACTTTGGGTAAGCAGACTAGCATTCATCTGGACTTGTGTAGTCTATTTCCGACTGATCACCAGTGCAACAGTTGTACTTAAAGCTGGGATATTGGAATCCATCTAACTAGTTCCGTGCTCTCAACACAGTGTGGTTCTATAGTTTTCACATGCTTGTATTTTTGGGCTTTGCAACATTTTTAGATCAGCTTTTTCAGAGATATCAGCTCTCAGTACCAAGTGTCAAATAATGACTCACAGGGCTCTTTCGTATATGCAAAGCTAATGAAGA